GATGTGTCAAACACGATCAAAATCATCGTTAGCATATGGTCTGAAACATATGTTACAACCGCAGCGATGACATACCATCTTCATGATGCTATTTCAGTTCCTTGACATTAAAACTCTCATTAGTTTTAATATATTCAATTAATTACAGAGATAAACATTTGCAAAGAATATTTAATAAGTTTACTTCATAGACTGTATTCACACAGCAGCTCAAGGTGGAAAGCTTTTAAACTCTTACGTCTTTACTGAGGCGATGTATAGAAGGAAAAAATATCAAACTGTGTCATTCGACCATTTTCTGAATAAAAAACAAATAATAGAGAAAATTCAAACAAAAAAAAAGGCCATACTTTAAAGCTCCTGTAGGGGATTTTCAGTTTTTTTTTTAAAATAATAATAATTAAAAAAACCCTAAGAGGAGCTTTAAGTTAAAAAGTATAAGTGACAACCTATCAGCTAACGTTAGCGTTTCACCTCTTCTTTTGGGACAAATTTGTTTAAAAATCGTGAAATGCTCACATGCGCAGACAATTCACGAACGATTCGTTCAAAAGAACTGAATATTTTAAGTGAATGTACTGAACAGAATCAATTCCTCAAGTGATTCATTCATTTCTCATTTCAGTTGAGCTGCCACGCCCCGACGTCTGAATCACTTAGTGAACAAATCCCACAGTGCACTACACTCTGGAATCATTTTTGTCTGAGGGGTTCACTTTCATGGCGACCGTTGTTCCCTGATGTTTTAATAGCAGTAATGAGAAGAGAGTTAGACTCACCAGCTGTAGCGAGCTCTTGACATGAGCGACGAAGGGAGATAGGGATGTGTCGTGCTCAAGTGTACCTCAGATAAAACTATCTTTTTTTTTTAACTGCTAAATATCCACCACAACAACTTGCTATAGTAGGACACAGCATGTAACAAGTAGGACATAAGACCCGCAGTTTGAGATATGCGTGACTGTCTGATCCTATCATTGCGGCGATTTGCGAGGGAACGGTTCATGTTCAGTGTGAATTCTTCACTGATTGTACTGAAAGGTAAACGTTCAGCGAACGACTCACTCACTGAGCCCAATTAACCGAGTATAAAAACAGCATACCATTGGACAGTACACTTAAAAAACATCATGACTTATAAACAAGTTCAGAATCAGAATCAGAATCAGAATCAGTTCATTTTTACAAACCTGTTTGTCAAATCAACACAGCCACAACACTCTCGTCTCCCGGTCCCAGAAGCTGGAGTCACAGGCTCCTCCCACCAAGTCCTGAATGATTCAGTGAACGAATCTTTTAAACGAGTCTTTTAACTGAACTGATTCCAGTGATTCAGTACATCTTAAAATCGCCATGCCCATCACTACGTAGAAAAAATTCATGTTAACCTCAAAGTTTATCTATAAATAAAACATGTCATAGCCTCAACAACCATGAATGAATCAGTGAGTATTACTGCAGGGACTGTGATGAAATACTGTGGAGCTCCTTTTTGGTTCAGACAGTACAAAAACTCACAGTGATCACTTTAAGAAGAAGGCAGGATGTATTTCAGAGGTCACTCACCTCCTCAGCACACAAAGTACAGCGTGACCCCGCTGCTAGACACACTCCACGGCTCCTGACCCCCTGACTTAAGCTTCCTTGAGCTGAATTGTCTGCAGAGGGATCAGAAACGAGTCTATGAGTCGATTTTCCTCAATATGCACCGACCATATCTGGAGATTTCTCTTCTCCTTTTATCCTTATTTGTTATATCTGGGTTCAAAAAGGTGACTGTAATTTAGATAAGGTTTCATACACCTTTGAATATGCTGCTGAAAAGTAAAAAAAAAAAAACAACACGACATCAATCATCTGGGCCTGTTTGTGTTGTGGGTTTCCTAGCAACTGTGCACTCTAATTTTCAATACTTGAAACGCGTGTAGATCTTGAACCCTACTTGAATTTCCATCACAGAAATACAATCCCATGTATTTCAGTTTTCTGAACTGTGTACCGCTGACTGCCTCTAACCAAATCAGACAACATTAGAGCACAGACACTCATAATATGTTCAGAAACTCTTAAACAGACTATAAATGTGTAAATTGTAGGTCTTTTTAATAAGATTATAACTGTGGGCATTTTCTTCTCTTCGTTTAGTTTCCTCCATAAAAAGTTCCTTGTGTTTTAATTTTGTAGGAACTAAACCCTCAACCCTTTGCGGATTTTTCACCCTCGGTTTTTACACATTTTACTTGAATCCAACCTGTTACATTAGAAGTGAAGCCCTACAGTGAAAACAACCCCACCTGCTGTCTGATCACCTCTGAATCAACACTTCTGCAGAGCCACTCAGCCCCGAGGAGATGACAACTGCGATTTTAAGTGGAAAACAACTGGTGGCATCCAGGCTACAATCTAAATGAGAATTTCTGAGTAGGAAGAGTAATGAGATGGTTTACTTTTATTGCATCCTCAATGAGAAAAGTATTGACCCACCTAGGGCTCCTGTGGCGGCGTATCTGCAGCACAACAACAGGACAGCGGTAAATAGCTGGCTCATTGTGGCAAAAAAGGAAGGAAGGCAATTTACTGACTAAAAATGTGGGGCATTCCTTCCTCTCGAGCCATTAAGGTGAAGTGGAGCTGTAATTGCTGTTTAAAGAAAATAATCTCCACACTGAACGGCTCACAAAGAGCCAAATATTTGATCTGCTTTGGATTATTCAATAGATAGAAGAAATGACACTTACACTGAAGAATTAGCCGGTGTATCTTAACAGGATCTAACAGGGTCCTGACCCCACTTTAAAAAGGGCGAGTCCTCCATCCATAACTGCCTGAAACATTTATAAAGAGGGTGATGAGGATGATGAGCATGAGGTACGTCAGAAACATTGTGATTAAGCTTTGTGGTAAAATAAGCCACTCTTCACAGTCATCTTATCTAAACTACCACTAGCAAGCAGCTGCTAACTAGCATGGAGAATATTACTGTTTCTGTAAGTCAGTGAGGACAATGAGGATGATGATGGTGATTAGCTAAACCAGCTAAATTTATTCAATGGACTGGCTTTGTGGTAAAAAAGTAAGATTCTCCAGTGATGTCCTGTCTACCTCCAGATAATGCTAACTACCACTGGCACGCAGCTGCTAACTAGCATGAGTTTTATTTTTTCTGTAAGTTGATTATGTTTTGAGCCAAACTAGATTTGTGATAAAAATTTTGCTTCTCCAGTGATGTCCTGTCTACCCCCAGATTCTGCTTCCTCCCACCGGCATGCAGCTGCTAACTAGCATAAGTATTATTTTGTCTGTAAGTTGATCAGGTTATAAACCAAACTAGCTTTGTGATTAAAGGTTAGCTTCTCCAGTAATGTCCTGTCTACCTCCACCTAATGTATACTACCGCTGGCAAGCAGCTGCTAACTAGCATATAGTATTATTTTGTCTGTAAGTTAATTATGTCATTAGCCAAACTAGGTTTGAGGAAAAAGTTAGCGGCTCCAGTCATGTCCTGTCTGCCTTCATATAACACTTACTACTGCTGGCATGCAGCTGCTAACTAGCAAAAGCATTATGTTTTCTGTAGATTGATGAGATTATAAGACAAACTAGAACTGTGATTAAAAGTTAGCTTCTCCAGTCATGCCTTGTCTGCCTTCAGATAATGCTTCCTACCACTGGCAAGCAGCTGCTAACTAGCTTTAGTTGGACATTACCGTTCTTATTAATGTCTGTCTTAACAAGTTCCAGTGAAATCATTACCAAACTTTGCAGTGTGGAGTAAGTTACATGGGCCATGTGCAGTCTGCCATTATCTAACATTGGCTGCCAGTGGCATGCTGCTGTTAGCTAGCTGGAGTTCAATATTGTTGTCTTTATCAATGGTGGTGATGAGGACTATTTGAGCCAGATGCACAAATATCTGATGGATTAGCATTATAGCATCGTGCAGTTATGTAATGTCTGCTGATACATGCTACCACCAGCGAGCAGCTGCTAACTATCTTGAGGTAAAAACTGCCACTCTGATTGGGCAATGAGAAAAATCAGGATAACAATGACAAAATAATAATATTTTAGGTTAACTCTGCTGTCACAAGTTAGCTACTTTCACTAGGTGCTGTCTGCCTGACAAGCAGGTGCTAGTTAGCAGGAGTTAAAGAGGGCTATTTTTCCAGTACTATTTGCAAATTACTCTATGAACTCTCAGATGCTTTCTGAGTGACTGAATTGGGTTTTTACTTTTTTTGTGGTTATCATAAACTCATTTTTTTGTTTTCATCATTATTTTTTTGTGTGTTTAAGATCTCATTGCTTTTCTATGGACAGTCCAGCAGGTGTTAAAGGAAGAGGGGGCTCCTACCGTTTGGCATAAGGGACCAGAAATACCCACCATATATTCCCTCCTCAAACACCACCTCCCCCATTTGTCTGTTATCCTCCTTTTTTATAGCAGCCACAAGTGGATCTGCCAGCTTATGTTTCAGGGTCCTGAGCAGCAAATGATCTCTTCAAGTAAGGCCGGAGATAAAGAGAATAAGTCTTTAGTTTTCTGCTGAGAGAGGCTGAAGGAAAGAAAAAGACACTTCCTGTCATACTTGTCCTCTAATATAAAGCACAGCGCTGGTGCTAGAGAGCAGGCACTATATCTCCTTCAATCTTTGCTTCGCTCTGCTTTCTCAATTGTTCGGCCTTGCTGACCACTGTACGAGACTAAAGCCTCTACAGAAAGATATTGACCCAGCTGTGCACAAGCTAAATGAGTTTTGAGGACGTGTGTGTGGGTGTTTTTTTTGGGGTTGGCTTAAAATCCACCTTACCCATGCAGAAGTTCGGTACTCTTCTACTCAAACCTCAGCGGAGAGATTAGACTATAAATCAAACATGCTGCCCCAAACTTTGTGCCCTTTGTTGCATTTATTCAGTCAATATGTTGATTTGTAACAAGCTAAATTTAACCCTAAAGTTTGGTATTTTAAAGGTGTTGTAGTCAGGATCTGATGAAGTTCCAGTTTTTAGGAGAAATCTTGAATGTAAACTCTACCCCTCCCAACCAGTTTTCCCCTCAGCTCCTCCTCTCCCCTCCCTCTCTGCTCCAGCAAGCCCCGCCCACAAACAGACGCTCCTGCTCGCTCGTATCGTTCCAATTAAATTCAGATATAATGCAGATAAATACTTCAGATCATTACAAATGGGGCCCAGTCAAGGTGAAAGTCAAAAGCATTGGTGCTACTGTAGATGCCAACAGACTACCAGCAAACACAATGTTTGCAGGACTTCTACAACAAGGATAAAGTGACATAGTCCAGGACCCGAGGGAGGACAGTTTAGCGATGGCGCTACAACACGCTACAGCAGGTCCGTTTGACAAGAAACACTTCTGTTACAGACACTTGTCTTACTTTGTTAAAGCGGTTTACCTGTCCAGCAGAAAGGTTACAGGGTCACCAAGATCCCCAAGCGTCCCCCATTGTTTATGTTGACCCGGCTTTTTAGCTCTTGTCCGGTCTACCTCCGTTTTAAGCGCCCGTTATTCCTCCAGAGTCTCCGGTATTTACTTTGTTTTCTTGCTTTCTTGCTTTCTTGCCAAAGGAGGATTCAGACAATTTTCCGAACTTTCTGGTTGGTTTCTACTGTCCGATATTGTAGCACGCTAACTTTGTTTGGGCTCCTGAACGACACGGGGGAGCAGCGTCTGCCTCACAACCAATCAGGTTAGAGGAGGTGGAGAACGGCTTTGTTTACAGTCAGAAAGAGCGGACCGCTCAGAAATGTTCAAATGTTGACAACACAGACATAAGAAAACACAGAGACATCGTTATATTACCAAATGTCATTCATAATTAATAACTATTGACTGATATTAAAAAGCTTTTTTGTATAAACACCACAAAAAAAGATGCCCCACCTTTAATAAATGGGGCTCTACAGGGATTAACTCACTCCTGGAGCCAGCCCCCGGTGGCCGCTGAAGGAACTACAGATTTTGGGGTATTTGCTTGAGTCAAATCCACTATCCTGTTGCAAAAAGGCAAAAAAACAAATACACAAACAAATATCCTGAAAGCTGCTCCACACTAAAAGCAGATTTATTTGCATCCATCTGTGGGGATTGCAGTTTTATCCCACAGAGTAGTCCACTCCCAGGGCAATGTGGAAATAAACTGTGCCAGTGATCACATAGCATCATAGAGGGATTATCTGCGGCACTCTATTAAAGCCTGGAAGTAAATACGGGGTGTATTTCCTCAAGATCAAGCAGCTTTCACTGCCCACTCTAAACCCACTGTAACTGCAGAAAACAATGGAATTAGTCTGTGTGCAGAAACGGACAAAACACTGACGCGACAGTTGGTTTGTTATTCCCTCTGAGAGATAATGGCACTGAGAATGAAATGATAACAGTAAGGAGGAGAAAAAAAAAACAGTTTTCATTATTCCCGACTTCTGTTTGGTTTAATTCAAATTTCTTTATCAGTCTGCGAGAGGAATTTCAAATCAAAATGCATAACGAATCACCTCCTCCTCTTCCACCGTGCAGTGAAACATCATTTGATAAGAGCAGATATGAGTTTAGTTACACAATGCGGCGCAGTAAAATACAAATACATGAGCTTTTTCTCTCAGACACGTGTCATTCCACATGCACAAAGTTCATTTTACAGCAAAATAAGAAGAAGCTCTCATAAAAGACAGAAGACCACGCACTGTTAACTCCGGCAATTTAAGGAGCTTTCCTCTCGGCCCGCCCCAACCTCCTCCTCCTCCTCCTCCTCCTCCTCCTCCTTTCTGGAGCTCTCTCTGGTTCTCTGCTTGCTGACACATTGCTTCCAAAATGTACCAGCAGTCCTCAGCTCCAGCCCTGAGGGACACTGATCTCAGGTCACTGAGTCTGGGCAGCCATTGAAGGGCCTTAACAACTCTCCAATGCACCCCGCTGGAGAAATAATGCATGAGCCACCTCCAAACGACATCATCCATATTCACAATTTAGCAAGGCACTAAACAGAGGCTAGTTTCACCTGCGAGGATAGAGTTCCTTCCAGGAGGTAATTAACCACAGCGTGGACAACAGGAGAAGTTTTTAGCATCAAATTTACAACTTTGAGAAGAAATACGGAGAAAGATCGGCGTACTTCATTTAGATCTCAAAGACTTTTTCTGAGGTTTCACTGATATTTCAAAGATCTTCACGGAAGATTAATCCGTCCCTGAGCTTTTATACGTATACTTGTGCGTATTTGAAATCAAACCAGGAAAAAAAAAGACTAAAAGACATGGAAAAAGTACATTTCTCACAGAGTACTACTTAATCTCGTAGCATGGCGATGATCAAGTGTACGAGAAGTGGTTAAAAGCGCAAGAGGGGAAGAGGATGCTGCTTCGGCTAGCTCACTAGCAGTCTGCTACTTCTTCTTCTTCTTTATCATCTATCTCAGCATAACCAAATCAAACACGACCATAACTCAGTCACTGTATTACTAATGCGCTTATTTTTGGCCCAATATCAATATTTCACTCCTATGGTCGACACTTGTTTATTGCAATAATTAACCTGATGTTAATTATTTGAGTTACTATAATAGTCCAACTAAAACTGGACTTTGAAAATCATGCAAAAGTTGAATCTCTTGAAGTTTTGAAGTGGCACAGCTGGCCTCAGAGCTAACTGGTGGAGAGGGTCAATACTGTCCGTTACTATGAACCAATTACAAGATATTGATATATGCAGATTTTTGGACTAACATCAATATTTTGTGTTGATATAGACAGTAATTATCAATGTGACTTTATATATTCAGGTTATTTTAGATAGGGTGACCATATTTTGAATCCCAAAAAGGAGGACGTGTGAATTTGAGGGTTTTTCGGGTCGAGTGTTTTTATGCACTTCTAACTCAGTTGAACACATATTCTGAATTCTCAAAAAGACACTTAATTAGGCCTCTAGGAGATACTGAAAAATACTCACACAAAGTTGCGTTTATAAACAATATATTCATTTTTCTAAAGCATTTCTGATGTGCTGCACTTTATATTGAATGAATACATGTTCCGGGGTTCAGCGTGGAACTCCGCCTCTCAGAGTGTGTTTCCAAATGAACCACTGAACATGTATGGTAAACACAATGGTCTGTGATGCAAAGATAAAATACACACTATACAAACTCAAAACTATGGCAGCTGCCAGTGAAATAAAGAAGGCTTCGATTCAAAACCTCGGACACTTGAAGAATTTTATAACCTTCCCCCAGACATGAATTAATTTTACATTATTAAACGTCTACATCTGACTTCATGGTGATAAATCAAAGTTTACACATTTGATTAACTCACCAAAACTAAATGAATAATTAATAATGAGTAAATGGTACAAAATCAGGTATAACTCTGATTTCATCTCACTTCTGAAGAGCTGATCCTCGTGCCTCCTTTGTCAAAAACATCAAACGTTACCCCTACAGGGCAGAAGGAAATGTCGTATTTTCAGCCTTTTTCTCGTCCTCCTCCCATGAGATGTTTTCATTCCTTAAACCGGTGCTTCCTCTCTGTTTTGCAAAGCTTAATGCACTTAAAGAACTCCATTCCCCCTCCAGTTATACCATTTAAACTTCAAACTCCTCAGTGGGAGAAAAGGGTTATTTTGCAGCGGCTTACATAATGACTGGGGGAGAGTCGGGGGCTCTTTAAACCCATTGTTTCATTGTAACTTGATAGAGGCCTGTCACCACATATCTGGATTGTGCTTTCAGTGGTTACCAGGACTTGTGGGTGCTGCTGTGTAGGAGGACTGACAACAAAAGAACAGCTTTCTCTCCCTCCCTGCCTCCGAATGTGAACAAATGTGAAGTGTCTTTCTGTTTAGTGTTGGGGAGGACCGATTCTGTCTCAAAGAGGGAAAAAAACTTCAGAGTTTCTTCAACTTTTAATTCATTGTTTCTGAAGTTAGCCCCCCTGTCTCTGCTTTTTGGAACAAACAGGTAATGTGGTGACTCATAATGATCTCGATGAGACCTTGAACCCATTAGTGGGAGCTGTGTGAATAACCAGAGGCCTTGTGGAGGTGGACAGCTTTGTCTCAATATAAACCTGGGCTCGAAAAAGTGAGGGATATTCACTAACCGCGAAAAACTAATGACGGATGGAGCGCGGCCCCCCGGGGGGAGATCCTGACTCAGGTCCAGAGAAGAGAGGAAGCATTTTTTGTCACAACACCTGTCCGAGACACTTTGGCTTTGCGGCTGTAACACACAGTTTAAGCCAGGGGCAGCTGGATCCCCTCATTAGTCCCCTCACGATGCTGGATGGCGATGATGCTGGTGGACGCCTCTGGCTGGCTCCGTGAGGCCGAGTCGGTCCAGATGCCCCGCCTGGCTGGAGCGCTTTGTTTTTTCTCCAGTTACTTGTTAGAACCGGCAGAGCTCGCGGTGCTGCTCGGGCACCGTGAGGAGCTGCGGGACGTCCGCTGCCTCAGGTTGCGGGAAATAGATCGATGGAGGTTTCTCATGGAGGAGCCGGCTGCCAGAGTAGCCACCCAGGGGTGACGGATGGCTTGGTCTGCCGTCAAACGGGTGGTGGGGTCGACCTGAAGCAGGCCGCGGATAAAGTCTTTAGCTAGGTTGGACACAGAAGGCCAAGGCTGTAGGAAACAGGAAGCAGAAGAGAGTGAGAAACATCAGAGTGAGTTTGAAACACTGGGATTAGAAGATGTCAGTCCAGCCCACACACACAGAAACTCTCTGGAACCTGCAGCTCTCTAAAAAGCACCAGTGGGGTCTCCAGTCAAAGCGCCTGCACAGATTCAAAGCCCCCTCAAAGCTGGATTCAAGATTCATTCGAACAAAGCAATGAAACTACGATCCCTGTGCTCTCCAGGCCTAACAAGCAGAACTAAACTCAAAGGAAAGCTAAATGTCACTGGGCAGAGAGAGCAGCGAGCCTGGGAGGTAGGACGGCCCTGCTGCTGCTGCTGCTGCTGCTGCTGAATGTGTGGGATTTGGGTGCGTGTTTATTCTTCGCCTGCGTTTAGCTTCACAATAAAGGCTCGGCAGATGAGCCTCGCCGGAGCCTTTCGCTCTTTTTTAATTCAAACAGTAAATCGCTCCCCTCCTCATTACCTCAGCTGACATTCAAGGATGCTCCGAGTTCTGACACGCCGTATCTCCACCAGGAGAGGAGACATCAGAATCATCATCATCATTCAGGATCGTTCAATTATTCACAGCAGCTTCGGTTCTTTGTCATGACGACAACATTACAGAGGTCTGCCTCAGGACACTCATGACCTTTGTGTCTCCTCTTTATTTCTAATGAGATATCACTGACATGGACACCGGGGTGGATTTATTTAGGGAGAGATGACAGCTGCTTCTACAGATATTAGAACAATACAGTGATGTTACTTTTTTGATGTTAATGTCAACATGAAGTGTGTGACTTCACTCAGAAACTGCTTCACTGCTCAGTCTTTTCTCTGATTATCCGTTTTACAACCTCCACACCAATTTATGCATACTTATAAACAGAAAAAAGAGGAAGAAAAAGTAGTAGAAGAAGTAGAAGTAGAAGAAGAATGAGAGGAGGAAGAAGTGGAAGAAGTGGTAGAAAAAAGGTAGAAGTTGAAAAAAGTCAAAAAGGAGTAGAAAAAAGAAGTAGTAGAAGAAGTGGTAGACGTAGAAAAAGTTGAAAAAAAAGTTGAAGAAGAAGTAATAAAATGAAGAAAAAGTAGAAGAAGAATGAGAGGAGGGAGAAGTAGAAGTAGCAGAAGAAGTAGAGAAAGAAGTAAAAGAAGTAGAAGAAAAAGAAGTAGTAGAAGTAGAAAAGTTGAAGAAAAAGAAGTAGAAGTAGAACAAGAAGTAGAAGAAGAAAAAGTGGAAGAAGTAGAAGAACAAGAAGAAAAAGAAGTAAAAGAAGTAGACAAAAATAAGCAGTAGAAGAAGTAGTAGAAGTAGAAAAAGCTGAAGAAAAATGAGATGAAGTAGAAAAAGAAGTAGTTGAAGAAAAAGAACAAGTAGAAAGAAGTAGAAAAAAAAGTAAAAGTGGAACAAATTGAAAAAAAAAGAAGTTGAAGAAAAAGAAGATGTAAAAGAAGCAGTAGAAGAAAAATACAAAAAAAAAGAAGAAAGGAAGATAGAAGTAGACCTCTGAGAAGGAACGATGAAGACTCACATATTTTAGCCACATTCCCAACAAGAGTATGAGCGGTAAGGTTGTCTCATGGTCATATCATGGAGAACATCACGTGGAACTTCAGCCGTTGCCCTCGGATGTATAAAGTATATATCCCACACTATTTAGAAACCAATTGATATTTTAAGCAATACTATAACTTCTTTTTTGGAGTCTGATACAGGCAGCTCATCCATTATACACATATAAAGGACTGCTCATACTAATCTAATTACGCTAATATTAACACCTTTTTATAAGTGACAAAAGAAAATCTGACTGAAACATTGCAGTAACATGTTAGGCTAGCAACTGCAAAAAATCAACATGCTAACCGTTTTCCCCACATAAAAAAATATGGTCAAAGACATTTCTGATATCTAAAAGGGTCAGTAAAGAGTAATTGCAAACTTCAAAGTCCACTGGGGCGTCTACGAAATAAAGGTTCTTTACAGAAGCCTCCACTTTTATATCATAAATGCACTTTTGCCATTTCAAGCTTAATTTCCCACAGCTTAAGATGTAAACGTTATTACCAAAGTCGCCCACCAATTAGCTTGAATACTCTCTCCTCTGACTGTGGAGAATAAAAGCCAGCAGATACATCTGTAAGTGTAAAATTAAAAAAAAAATGCTCATTTTTTGCTCAACCTCGCACAGACTAAATCTCACTCTTTAGGGAGGTCTCGCTCTCCATTTTAATCCTGAAATGCATTTCTCTCTCCCTCTTTTTTTGTCTCTCGCCGAGTAATGACAATTAATCAAGCATGAAATTGACAATCGCGAGACTGTTGCCGGTGAGAGGAATTCAAAGAAGCAGGGACTCGCTTATTCTCACAGTGCATTGACTGGAGAGGAGTGTGTGTGTGTGTGTGTGTGTGTGTGTGAGTGCAGAGCTGCCCCACTGATCGAGTCATAGAAATGCTTCTCACTCAAACTTTCCTCTCTTTGTGTTGTTATTTCACACCTGAGAGGCAGACAGAGTGACACTTTGCCCGGGAAGGAGAGGAAGTGTTTGATTGAGCTCCCACAGCTAACAAGTCTGGTTTCCCTCTACATCACTGGTGGTGATTCAGTGAGGCTTCTTATTACTGCACCACGAAAAACATATGTGATAGCAGCAGGTGCTAGCAGATGCCTCTTGTCCTTGATGCAGCGTTGCGAGAACATACGACTGGCTTTGTGAAATGGTGATGCCTTCGCAGAGTCGACACCATCGACTGTTAAAAAATGGATGTCTCCACCTCCTCCTCCTTTAGTACAAAGACTGATATATGAGCCGGTCTGCAGTCAGCTGGTGCAGTCCCACTGAAACGGCATCATATAAAACCTTCTTATAGTCAAACCCGGATAATATAGATGAGATAGTGATAGTGTTCTGAGCATTATTTGTGGCTATAGAGTGGCGTTTTGGTTGAGGTTTGTTTATGGCTCCTCAGACCTCTCTGTATTGCTATCCTGCGGTCGTTACTAAAGTTGGTATAACTAGAGAAGCAAGCGGTCGGCAACATTCATCCCTGGAGGGGGTGTCTAACTCAGTGTTACGGTGTGTTTGACCCTAACTTAATTTTACACCATAATATCCCTTTAAAGGTCAGTCCCAATTGCACCCCTTAGCCCTCGATTTCGTGTGTTCACGTCAAGTAAAGAGGTGTCCCGATTCTCTGTACCTCACTTGAAAGTAAAGGGTAAGATTTTAATATGATTTTCATAGATATGGCACATAAGTTTTTTTAATCAGCTATTCAATCCTTTGCTACTCCGCGTAAATATTAGCTGTGTTTTGAATTGTTTGCGTTTTCAAATCGCATGTTATGACGAGCTAGCTAACTAAGCTAAAGCTATTGATTGCTATACTGACGTCAGACCGCTATCGCGAACAACAGCTAACGGTTTAACGTTACAACAGTATGTTGTTTTACGACTTGTTTACCAGTACTGTCTCATTAGCCGACCACATAGCTAGCAAGTGGCAAGGCATGGTGACATAGTGGGAATAGAGTGGTGTCTCATTTCTTAGGAGCGTGTTTTAACCCCTTAGTCCTCAAAACAGAGGAAAGGGGTGACAATTGGGATTGGCCCAAAGTCATCACATGATTTGCTTAAATCGGTTCCCCCGTTCACACCTTCACTCTGCCCTGTTTGTGTTACAAAAGACACGAACCAAATAGCAGACAGGAGTGATCCAAAACATTGTTGTATATATCATTGTGCTCAAAATACAAACTCCTAGAACAGAGCGATACGACATTCTGCAAAATCCACTCGCTCTGTGGGACCTACAGCCTTTCATTTATAAACTCTGTGTGTAACATTTAGGATCAGCATATTTCCAAAGACTTTGGATCCAATCCTTCAAATATGAAGATAATCTGAAATGATTTATGTATTAATTTTGGCGAACTAGTGTAATTTTAGATGCTAATGGCGTCTGTATCAATAAATTTGTATCGAGTCTCATGCTAACAATGATATAGCCTAAATATTTGGTAATGTACTACTTTTGTGTGGCAGCTGCTGTCATTAAAGCTCCTGTGTGGAGTTTTTTTATATTTATGAAATAGACTGAAATTCATATTGATGTTTTTTATAATGTCAGAAAGCGTAAGAGACGATCATATTTTTATTTCCTAAGTTTTTGTTCCTAAAAACTGGTGTGAGGGGTAGGTGTCAGCCCTCCTCATAAAGAAACAGCCTGGTTTTACTATAATAGCATGGAGAGGACAAAATGAGCAATGACTGTTTTGTCCACAGGGGGCGCCAAAATCAAAAGTTCCTCACAGTTCTTTAAAGTGCCTGATCCTGCTCTAACTAATCTTCAGCTGTTTTTAATGAATCGTGATATTTTGTTGTTGTGGCTTTAATTTGGGTTTTAATTGTTTGACACTTTTTGCTAATTAAATTTGTTCATTTACGTCGGCTTAATTGCGTTTGTGTTTTTGCATCTTGTACTGTACGTTTTAATCATGCACACTGGATAATTGGATCTCCTCTCACTGTACTCACACTGTCTGTTTTGTTTGTTGCCTCGACATCACAAGCACCACTCTCTAAGTTTACATTCCCCCTCTGGCTCTCCCGGTCTTTATTTCCTGGTATTGCTACTCGCAGTGAGTGATGTCGGCAAAAATCTCCTAAGTGGTAGCAAAAGTTTTCCTCCCTTTGCTATCAACACCTAAAGAAGAAACGACATGTTGTTTTCCTGGACTGGAGCCACCTGCAGGAGCTTTATCTCCCTTTCTTATTCTCGACATTTTTCACGTCAAAAAACACAAAGGCTTTATTGTGTTTGGAGAGAGGGGCGAGAGTCTGCGTGATACATCACCGTGGAGCCAGCAGAGGTAAGAGAGAGGAGGAGGAGGAGAAGGAGGAGGAGGAGGGAAGACAAGTAGAGTGCAGGTACGGCATAAGCTGTAGAGGAAGCTACAGGGCTTGACTTATTGAGAAGCATCTTGTTAGAGTGAATGAGAAGCTCTGCAGACTGTGTTTGCGGCGCGCTACATCTTCACCTGACAGAGCTGTAATTGCAACAAATGACGAAAACGCTCGAAGGTTGGATTACGCTAATGTGATCACGAGGATAATGCACTTTTGAGTAATGAACTACTCTGTCTGAGAGTCTCCTCCGCCTCACGATCCACTTTCTCCTGCAACAGCCCCGAATTTTTTTTACACAACATTTTTTATTAGCGTTACACAGATCAAAGGTGGTGTAGTCAGGATCTGAGTTAGTTCCATTTTTAGGAGAAATCTTGAATGTAAACTCTACCCCTCCCAACCAGTTTTCCCCTCAGCTCCTCCTCTCCCCTCCCTCTCTTAAGCCCCGCCCACAAACAGACGCTCCTGCTCGCTCGTATCGTTCCAGTTAAATTCAGATATAATGCAGATAAACACTTCAGATCATTACAAATGGGGCCCAGTCAAGGTGAAAGTCAAAAGCATTGGTGCTACTGTAGATGCCAACAGACTACCAGCAAACACAATGTTTGCAGGACTTCTACAACTAGGATAAAGTGACATAGTCCAGGACCCGAGGGAGGACAGTTTAGCGATGGCGCTACAACACGCTACAGCAGGTCCGTTTGACAAGAAACACTTCTGTTACAGACACTTGTCTTACTTTGTTAAAGCGGTTTACCTGTCCAGCAGAAAGGTTACAGGGTCACCAAGATCCCCAAGCGTCCCCCATCGTTTATGTTGACCCGGCTTTTTAGCTCTTGTCCGGTCTACCTCCGTTTTAAGCGCCCGTTCTTCCTCCAGAGTCTCCGGTATTTAATTTGTTTTCTTGCTTGTGTCGGCAGTCGTGGCCAAAGGAGGATTCAGACAATTTTCCGAACTTTCTGGTTGGTTTCTACTGTCCGATATTGTAGCACACTAACTTTGTTTGGGCTCGTGAACGACTCGGGGGAGCAGCGTCTGCCTCACAACCAATCGGAAAGAGCGGGCCGATCAAAAAATGTAAAATGTTGACTATACAGACATAAGAGAACACGGCGATATCGTTATATTACCAAATGTCATCAATAACTAATAACTTTTGACTGATATTTAAAGCTTTTTTGTGAATACACCACAGAAGAAGATGCTTCTTTAATGGAGTCCTGCCTCCCCCACCTTGAATACAGTACAACTCTTGAAAGAACACAAGATACTGAGGAAGCATTAATCACAAACACCCCCTTTCCCTCAAGACCCTGCTGGATATTCCTATTCCTATATCCTACAAATTCTGGAGCTAAAACAAAACAAAAATAAAAAAAACAAGTAAGTGCTGGAATTCGGGTTTTGAAGATCTTGAAATATATACGACGTTGAGAAATAAAAAGTAAATAGAAAATAAGTTAAATTACTTACTGTACGTTAAGAGAAATACAAATGTAGACAAGTCACTGAAAACTGAAAACGTCCATAAAAGAGATAAGAGTTTAAATTGTATGATTATAAAACATCACAGATATATATTTCAAGAAGAAAACAACTAGAAGAGGAGAGCTGATTTGAAACGATGAGAGTTTCTAAATGTCAGAAAAGGTCCACAAACCTTTCTGATTTTGTCGTCATGACCTGCGACAGAGTAACGAATCTTCTCAAGGTCTAAACAAGAGACGTAAGGTCTTTCCCTCCAGGCCAGGAGGGAGGCACACGCCAGGGTTCAAGCCTTAAAATTTTAAACATCATAATGAGTCTGAGTTTAGTAGGACGAGGTTCGCCGGATGCTAATTTAGGTGAGAGTCCGGCTAAATCAAAATATCAATACAGCGGATACAGAGGAGATTGGACTGTCATGTACAATACTCTGTGCAGAGGCAGAGGCTGGAGATTTTTGTTCCCCTCTTGCTCACTAGGGGGCAGAGTGGGACAGCCGTTACCCATGCTGCCTTGCTGCTTCTGCTGCTGAGGGATGCAGATGTTTGGGTTGGGTCAGGGAAGTGTGTCTTCAATAACAGCAGCAGCAGCAGAATGCAGAGGAGGTTACCTTGCTGCTGTCTGGCCTGCAAGGATTTGTGCTTTACATACACAAAGCTGCCACCACACCACACACTCGTGCACACAAACACAAACGCACACACATACGCACGTGCATGCAGAGAAATCCACTTACACACACCAGATGAGATGCTGTGATTCCGTGCGAGGGGGGGAACTGCTCCACGCTACGTGCAGCTAACGGATTGAGTGATAAGGTGCGAAAAGCCCCCAAGGCTACACCCGTTCCTCCACTGCCTTCCTTTCTTTTCCCTCCATCCTGACATCCATCCCCGTCTCCTCTCACTCCCCCTCCCTCTCCTGCTCCCTCCCTCCCTCTCTCCCTCCTAACCCCCTAGTGTTGAGTAAATGCATCAGTGTGAGCCTGGACTACAGGTCGCAAGGCCAAAGGCTCTTTAGGGGGACTGTATGGAGGCCATGTTGTGGACTGTATGAGAGCAAACAGGAAGAGGGATCTGGTTTGTGGGCAGGTGCCGGGGGTAGTTTGCATTTCTCACCTCCTTCTAAAACCCCCCAGCCCACCCACACTCACCCACACACGCTCACATTCACTGTGTGTTAGTATTCTGCTTCAACAAACAGGAAAGGTTACCGATTCCTTTGGAGGAAGCTTTTTGTAATTGCAGCCCCTGTGTATTCATTTGCATAGAAGAGAGAAAAGTACCTTTTCAAAAACATCTGGAGACAGGAGGAATAATAAAAGAGGTCATCGAAGTTCGTCATTCTTACTGCCAGATTGATTTCAAACTTACTTTTGACTAAATTTATTACTTTCTCACAAACAAAAGATCTCAGGAAGTCGTCAAAATATCAGAAAATCACACTGAGGTGTTTTTCTCTCTGATCTGATTTAATCCTGATCAGATTTAACTGGATACAGAAATGCAAATTAATGTTTAAAGGGACATTTCAGTATTTTTGAAGTGAGATTACATAATTTAGAGGTCAAGATGCAAGAAAAGCAGCATAATGACACAACCCATAGTCAACATTTTCACCCCACAGTGAAGATCAGTATATTTTCTAAGAATGTCCTGATTAAACCCCACAAAAACTTAGTCAATCCGTGTTGATTTATGTTAATCCTAGTGAGAAATTGTCATTTATTCCATAAGCTGTGGAAGGCTGCCATCTTCGCTACGGTCTGTTGATCAACCAGAGGCTGTATGGGTGATCAGCTGGCCTGTAAAGGTCCAGTCAGAAGCCAGATTTCCACATTTCAGCAGAGCAGTGAGGGTGCTAAAAGTCCTAATAAAATTTTAGTTGTAGACACAGAAAACCTGGCCGGCTCCACTCGAGGGAGCAAAGATGGACCAGATATAAAATAAGGTGGAAGTCTGGCTTCAGATGCTTCAGTGAAAAGAAATCTAAGATAAAAAAGCTCGTCAGCGTTTAGGAAAGAAGTTCAGCTCATCATAATTAAATTAAAAAACTAATTTATCTAATGAAGTTGATATATTCTGTACTTTATAACTGGGTATTAGTGGTGAAATCATCTTTAAATCTAAATCACTCATCCAAACAAACACAGAGAATAAAAGCTGAGTCATTGTGAGGCCGAGTCAGACAGATCAGTCTGGTCTCCTCTCCTCTAATGTGGTCTGTCTCAGGTGACCCCCTCCTCTAACCTGACCCAGACCTGCACACAGTCCACAGCAGCCCACTCTCTGAGTCCTGTTTTAGTGAACTGTAGTAGCAGACTATAGTTTAAAAGCTCTCCTCTCACTGTAATTACAGTGTTCATTCATAAATCTAATGATAATGATGATTAATGATTTCTTAGGGAGCTGGTAGATACACTTGAATAAAAATGAATAATTACTTTTTAATAACACCTGTTTTTTTTTCTTCACTCTGACAAGTTAATGTTTGCTTTTAAAATGACTTCTGTTGTGATAAAACTCTCTTGATACTGCATTAAATAATACAACATACCAAATTACAGTAAAATCTACTCCCTCTGTGTTTTAAAGTTTGTTTCTGTGACATCCAGATAAACATGCTCGAAGGAGGCTGCTGTCTTTGTTTTGATCTGTTGACCAATCAGAGGTCGTATCTATGACCAGCTGACTTGTGATGGTCCAGTTAGAAGTTAAAAGCCAGAACAGAATGGTACAATGTACAAAATTACAGTAAAATCCACTCAGTACGTGAGACCGGGGGTAAACTCTTGGTGTTTCCATGACAACTAGTGTTTTTTATATGTTTTTTTTTCTATTTTTCTGTCAATTTTATATCTACTTTTTTTTCTATCAGTGTTTTTAGAGACTGTCCTGATCCACTTTCTTAACAAAGGTAATCTGTGATGATTTGTTTAAGAATCGTAAAAAAATACGATTAGCCGACTTTGTTGGATATAGGCTACCATTTTTGTTTTGATCTGTTGACCAATTAGAGGTCGTATTTGTGATCAGCTGATCTGTGATGGTCCAGTTAGAAGTTAAAAGTTAGTACAGAATGGTACAATGTACAAAATCACAGTAAAATCCACTCAGTGCGTGAGACCGGGGGTAAACTCTTCGTGTTTCCATGACAACTAGTGATGAAGAATTACTTCATATTACTCTAAACAAAGGTAAACTGTGATAATTTTTTAAGAACTGTAAAGAAATACTATTATTTTTGTTGTTAACTGACTTTGCTAGAAGTAGGCTGCCATTTTTGTTTTGTTCTGTTGACCAATCAGAGGCTGTATTTGCCATCAGCTGACCTGCAAAGGTCTGTTGACCAGAAAAAAATAGTACGACTATATTCTGAATCTCTAAAAAGAGGACACGACTACTTGGGGGTGGAGTCATGGAGTTGCGCGTAGTAAATTTTGAGAGTATTTCGGGTCACATCGAGTGTCTTTTATGTGCTTTTAACTCAGTAAGTCCACGCAAAACAAACTCAAAATTTCCGTACAAAACCGTGGACATATAAAGGATTTTATACACTCCCCCAGACAAAGATGGACAGCCCCGGAAAAAAGAGGACATGTCCGGGTAAAAGAGGACGTATGGTCACCCTAGAGTAAAATCCACTCAGTTCGTGAGACTGACAGCCTCACTGGGTTAAACTTCGCGTTTCCTTGACGTCTAGGATGTTTTTTCTACGCTACAGAGATGATCGGTGCATTTTCAAAGGCTGTCCAGATCCAATTACTTGAAATCAGAGGTAATATTTGATGGTTTATAAATATTTGACTAAAATACCATTATATTTGTTGTTAGCTGACTTTGCTGGCCCTAGAGATATGAAAGACAGGTCATCGCTCTTCTAGTGTGTGTGCAACATTTACACTCCTGTTGGCTTTTATTTCATTCAAAGATACTGAAAACATTTCATTTAAAAGTTGTTAGAAACATCAACTTAACCTTCACTTTTCAGGGTTTCTGTTTTACTAATTCAAAAAACCGCCCACACAGAAACAAGATCAGGTCTTTAGTGAGTCTCTTCATACAGTTTGTCTTTTAGAACCAGGGTTGCCGTACGCTCGGGTCAATCTGGTGTTTTGACACATTCGACCTCTGACCGAGCTGCCTTGTTCGATCACTTGTGAGTGAAAACAGGCTTTAAATCTCCTCATTGCTATGAAAAGCAGCAGGCCCTCTCTCCTGCTCTTCCTGTCACTTTGTTCGGTTGGTGGACGGCTCATTTCAAATAAAACTCTTCAAGTGGAGTTTAATATGTGGAGGGAATTGCTCAGGCTGCTGAAGCTGTTCTTGTCCCGAGGAGAAGCACACTTCTGAGTGACATGAAGGGTCCTCGTGATGGCAGAGGTCCACATTTGGTCGGTACTTGTGAGCCTTCATCGCGCATTATAACATCATTATCTACCAAACCGTGTGTGTGTGTGTGTGTGTTACCGCGTGTGTTGTATGTGTGTGTTTGTGGTCTGTCTGTCAGAGGGGGTGGGTACTTGAATGTGACAGAGAATAAGTGTCTTGTCAACATGAAAACGAGATTGATGGCTGATCCATCAAGTCCTGGACTGCTACTCGGGCATGTCTGATGTCTTCATTTTGTCAGTGTGTGTGAACATACAGATTGATGTCTTTACTGCGTGTCAGAGCGCTGTGGATCACATACATATTGGCAGGAGGCGTTTCAGATGGAGTGACAGGTTTAGCTGGTGACCTTAAGAAAGAGGATCACACTTCCAACTACCCAAAATACGCATGTTTGTTGTTTGTCGATGATTAAAGCGGCACGACTTTGGCCAAAAATTAAATCCTGATTTTTTTTCTCTAAAAACTTGATTTTCTATTTAGATTTTTTATTCAGTGACAACTTTACCAAACACTTCACTTGAAAAATAATCAGTTTGTCTATCATCTCTCAAAACTAAACCACTGAAAATGATGTAGTGCATATGCCAAGCCAGTAAGTGGCGCTGTAATGTTGCACAGGAAATGCACAAAAGATAGAAGAAGAGTATTAAGGTTGTTTTGATGCCATAAAAGAGTTACTCTGTGTGTCACATGATCGTTTCCAGAGATACAGATAGTCATTCACGTGGAGATGAAATGGTCGTCGTTTACAGATTTATGCACTCTCTCAGAAAGTACTGTTTACAATCACCTGGAACGCTGTTTCCGTGTGGATGATACGACAAAAAAAGCGCCTGAATTCGTTTCCGTGGTGACGGGTTGATACCGCCTTCAGACAGACTTTACAGCGTGGAGTGGTTTGCTCTTCATCTGAATGGGCGACTGACTTGCTCTCGTCTTATTTAACCACGAAATTATCGCCTTCTTTTACAAACGCCATGTTTGTTTACACTGGTGTGTGTGGGAACTGGGGGGCGCTCCTGCAGGAAGGGGTAGTCTACGGTGGCCTGGAGGCACGAGACATGATAGAGAGGAAAATCAATTTGATGATTTTATTTTTTTTAACATCATCATAATTAAATAATCCGATTACGATTTAAAATTGATTAATCGCGATGATATAACCTTTTGACATCATGGCTAGCTTTTAGGGTTTGCGATGCAGCCGGTGGTTAGAGAGACTTGTTAGGAGAGTGGAGTTCAAGTATGACAATTAAGATGTCAAATCCTTTGAGCTGTTTAAAGCCACAGTAAGGAGTTTTTTTCAATGTTTATATGTTCCAATTCCCAATCCAAATTTCATATTCAGAGTTACATGAGAGTATCATAAGTCAACAGGAGGATGTTATTGCCTGAAGACACGACTGAGGTGAAGACTGCTTTGTCCACAAGAGGGCGCTGAATTTGGCACCAACCGAAAAATCCTCCCAGGAGCTTTAATTGAAATGAAAATATGCAGGCGATTTAATTTTTCTAATCTTTCAGAGCACCTGGTGATGATGAGGCTGAGTAAAGTATTTCAGTGTTTTGAGAATATGATTTGCTCTGAAACTGCAACAACGTGATCAAAAATGATTTATTAAAATCAAATATTGACTTTAAGGGTTTATTTCTCTGGCATTATGAAAGTGAAGTTCACACTGGGGCAAACTGTGCGGTCATTTTTCCAATAAGAGCGAAGGCATCCTCTCTGCTATCTCAAATTGCCTTCTGGATTTCTATAAAACACGGTTTTCATCTTTCTTCCCCAGGATTTTCCTCCACCAGTGTGGCCTACATACGAGCCGCGTCCAAAGCCACCATGAAAAACGTGAAATAAGCCTCTTGCATAAACTCTGGAAGGGTTTCTTTTTTTCACAATTGTTGAGTTGGTGGTCAGTGCAGCGGTAAACACAGGGATAATAGTCCAGGGCCTATGTAAGGGAGCTTCTCGTATGCCAGACTAAAATGTCAGACTGCATCCCTGAGAATCAGGGCCAGGCTTAAAGCCCAGTGAATAATCCAGCCCTGGGTGTAATCAGCGTGAAAGAACAAGCCCAAACTCACCACTGAGCTTGACAGAACCGGCTGTTAAAAATACCCACTCCCTGGGATGTATGACAGAGGAGAAGAGGGAAAAGAAAACACGCAGACCGCCTTTTTCCACATTTCCAAGCATTCTCAAAAAGCCGAACTCGAGTCGCAACAACAAACTTTTGCAGATCTATTCATGTGCTTTACAGTGTTGCAGAGGGAGGGATGAAAACAAGGAAAGACGGCATCACCTTGTTTACACACCTTCACTGCAACATGCTCTGTTGAATTTTATTTTTCACTCGTATCAGGACGGGAGATGGAATATTGCAGCTATTTGCGGTGCGTCTAATAAAAATGATGAAGGTGAGGATATTTTTCCTCCTCTGTCGTCGAGGCGCCTTTGTGCGCACGTGCTGCTGTTGAATAATTGCACAAAGCGTGAACGCGACGCTCCACAAACCAGACCAGACCAGTGTCTCGTGGAAAAGTCTGGATGTAAAAATGGAAACGGCGGATTGGAAAACGCTTCAAACAGATTTTTTAAAAACGGGAAATAACAGAGTTAAACTTTTTTAAAAGTTGAAAAACGCCCTTCATTCTCTTGGCAACAATAACTGTTTTCCATCTATATTATTCAATGAAATGTTCATGAATCTTCCCATCTGTAAGGAGCATCAAATTAGTGTATATATGACCAAATGCAGAGGAAAGAAACTGCATGACTTTAATGGATCAGCTGTTAGCCGACCTACTTTCTCAAGTTATGAAGCTGTGCGTCAATCTCACAGACGTACAATTAACCCAAAAATACCACTTCCTCTGAATCAGCTGACTTTGAGTAAATCTCTTCTAGCCGTTTTAAAAAAGTTGCACAGACTTACTCACAGTAATACTCCCGTACCCCGGACCTGTCTACTGATTTGTAGCACTAGCCAGACCTGCTACTTTTCATACCTGAGCTACAAGCTCATCCATCACCACAGCCTGCTCCCTCTCTCCGAGTCTCCACCTTGCTTCATATACAGCACGCATTGGCACTGGAAATAAATTGTGTTGGACAGAGTCATCCAATATGTATGTATTTCTATGGGATACTGAGAGAACGACTTTTTGCTTCTGGAACTTTTAGTCGCTAGGAACAAAAACTTTTTGTCGTCACGCACCGGAGAAACTTTGTATCCAGTTAAAGTGTTTGTTTACTCGGGCTGGTGATTTTTCAGTGAGTTATTGGTCTGTTTTTATTCCCAGCTATCGTTTGTCACTGGTTGGTGTAACCATGAGCCGAAGCTAGGTAGAGGATGAAATGATCGGGTTGAAGAAATAGTGGTTTACTTAAAATAAACACCCGAGTACAAAGTTTGAACTCAACTAGAACAGAGTAAAATGCAGTTAAACAACAATAAACATACATCTGCTAAATTAGTTTACATTTAAAAAGTGATTTCAGTCAGAGTTACTTTTGTCAATATAATCAGTTGTATGGTTGTATTATTTTTGGTGGTATGTAGGGCTGCGATGATTCCTTAAGTACCTCGATTACAAAAAATAATCGGGGAATTTTCTCTGCCTCGAATTCTCGTTTAGAAGCTCAAATCAGATTATTTTCAAGGTTACACAACGCGCAGGTTTTGGTTTTGCGGAGCGGAAAAAATGATTGATGAGAGGGTCTTTTCTTCTGCAGAGCTCCAATCGCTCATTAGCAATTCGCCTCTGAGTCGTGGGCGGAGACAGCACTGCTCTGCACTCTTCTCTTCATGCTAGCTTGCAGCCGAACATTGCTGGTGTAGTAGAAGAAGAAGGTAACAAAGGAGTTATTCAGCTCTCGGACACTAATGTCTTCGGGAACATGATGAAAGTTAATATCTTAAGTAGCTTTCTTACGAAAATTGCAATCCGCTAACGCACATGCTTGTTCCGCAATTGTCCGGGGGCGGAGCTTTGATTTGTGACATAGGAAATCTCACTGTGTCTGAGCCTGCTGTTTAGGTCTGATTACTTGATTAATCGATGGAATACTCGACAGAACACTAAATTACTAAAATATTCGATAGCTGCAGCCCTAGTGGTCTGTCTCTGTTTTAAGAGCTCTCTACCCTCCTCAGCCAAAGCCTGTTGCAGGGAGAGCACACCTCCTTTTTCTATTGTTTATTATTCACCGCAGACGTACAGTAAAGTTGGTGCTGCAACATTTAACTATACCCAGCTCCTATACGCTCTTAACTTTTATTCTTTTTATAGGAAAATGCTAAACTGATGTGCGTAGCCAAGGCAGGGAGAGCAGCAGCAAAGACCAACAGGGTACAGAACAGACGGGTACCAGTGAGAAAACTGATGAAACTGTTGAATCAGACACAGAGTGAACAGGTGAGGCTGGGTTGCAGACTGCAGCAGTTTAGAGTTCCCTTTCTTAAATTTGTCATCTCGGCGTACTTAAGCCCGAGGTTGTCAGCTGATGTGTGTTAGCGTTCAGATCGGCTTAATTACTGAGTTTGACTTTATGTCCTGTCTGAGTTAAAGCTACACTCCATTTGTTCGTCTGTTTAAGAGAGCGTTTGACTCCGTTCTCGCCTCCAGCTTTCTCTTCAAGTCTGTAAACTGTTGATTTTTGTTTTAAATATAAATAAGGGCCTGAAGAAAAAAACAAAATCTGATCAAATTTAGCAGAAACTCACGTCTCCATGGAAGCTGTACTTTCCCCTCATGATGGACCTGTAGAGCCGCGTTCGACTGTCGTCTTCAAACGGCATGGATCCACTCAGAACGATGTAAGCAATCACTCCCATCGCCCACAGGTCCACCGCACAGGTGTAGGGTTTCCTCAGCAGAATCTCAGGGGCGATGTACTCTGGGGTTCCACAGGTTGTTCTCAGAGACCAGGTCTTGTCTGCGTCTGTATCTCCTCCTGCGTCATCCCCCTCAAACCTCTCGCCTGTGCCTCCGAAGGTTGCGAGTCCAAAGTCGGTCACCAGCAGCCTGGAGTCGGCCCCGGGATGATAGTAGAGAAGATTTTCCGGCTTCAAGTCTCTGTGGGTGATCCCGAGGTTGTGCAGGTACCCCACCCCGGCGAGCACCATCCGGATTGCCTGGGTGGCGTCCCTCTCTGTGAAGCGGCCTCTGCTGACCACGCGCTCTAATAACTCCCCTCCTGTGGCGAGCTCCAGCACCATGTAGACCCTCTGAGGGAACTGGAACACCTGGATCAGCTGGATCACGTTTGAGTGGCTCACTCTCTGCAGCACGGCCAGCTCTGAAGCGCACACCTCGCGGCCCTCTGGGAGCTCCACTTCCATCATCTTTATGGCGAAGGGCTGGCGAGTGGCCCTATGCTCGGCACGCACAACCCGACTGAAGCTCCCTCGGCCGATCAGAGCTTTGATGTCGTATCTGACAGGGCAGAGCGGGAATGATGAGTCATTACGGCGTAACTATCCCATGATACCCTGTAGCGGAGAGCACTCAGTGTCTCTCTGCAGCTGCACGTGTGATCTATGGGAACAGATCTGCATGCTGCAGCAAAGTCATGCAGGGACACTCATATTTACATGCATATGTGATGATAACTGCTCAACAATGCAATCATTTACATGCAGGAAAGAATTCACATCCCCTAAAGACAGCCGTTTCCTCGGATTTACTTCTATTTCTTTATCCTGCGAGTACAGGAAGGTAATCTCAGGCCTCGGTCGTGAGGAGGAATATCTCCTGTTTTTCTGCAGACAATTTGTTTTGAATCAAGGTTGATATTTGTGAGCTGGGTAGAAAAGAAAAAGCCGGTGACATTAAAAGGCTCCCATGAGAACTGCAAACGCTCTTAATAAGTCTTTTCACCTTGTGTTGTGCTGCAAATAATCCAGTTATGAATAAATGTTTAAAAGTAGCTGATCAGATGATATCGCTTGTTTACAGAGCGCGCTCAGTCACGCAACATCTCACCACCTTTTTGTCCTTTTATTAGCGCGTATCTGTGCTTGAAATCAGCCGTATACAAATGTGGAGGCTAATTAATGTTTCCTGATGTTGAAATTAAATCTTTGCAGGATAAGTTTGATCTTTCTGATGGAGGAAAATGAAATATAAACACGATTAAATGTGGATGAAGTATAACTTTTGTACGATGGAATATTAGAGCCACATTAAGAAAAATACATTTAAGACTTCGGGATTAAAGACGTTAGCTTATGAGAATGAAGTTGTGATGAATAAATTATGTACGAGAATAAAGTTGTTGTAAAGTAATCACTTACGAGACTAAAGTTAGTTCTTATATTCTAACCTGTTGTTTAAGATTACAGTTGTTGAAATTAGAGCCATGAAGCACTGTGGGAATTTGTACTTCAATATATGTTTTTCAAACAAGGAGATACTTCATCTTTTGGCACATCAGCACCACATTATCAGAAGTATCATAATGATTTTATTACGACTTTATTTTTGAAAGTAGTTACTTTATTACGACTTTATTCTCCTTAGTCATGACTTTATTCTTAAACTAACGACTTTAATCTCAAAGTCTAATTTTATTTCCCTTAATGTGGCCCTGATACTCAGTCGTTCTTCTGTTCATATTTACTTAAAGAAATAATAGCTAGATTTAAGGATATTTGATTGTAAAGTAACAGATGAGTTTAAGACGCTGTTTTACCTTAAAACCCTCATTTTGACCCTCATCTCTTTAAATTGTTGCTCTTTAAACATGAATCTGTGGAGGCAGTGATAGACTGAGTTGACAACCTCATTCTGAGCCCATGCGGTGACTTTCACTGCAGAGTCACGTCTGTTTCTTATGCAGTGAAACCTTTTCGTTTGTTAATTTTGCCAGATTTTGACTGTTTGGTGAAGTTTGGCTCTAAATCCGCTCGTTTTTAACGCCTCCTGGGAACCATGACAGCTCCTGATACGTCTTTTCTTTTTTTATTATATCACAAATTATCTCCTGATAAAAAAGTGAGACACCAGCTGAGCAGATTCAGCAGCCGAGCCTTTTTTTCTTTTTTGGCTTGTTGAAGTCGAGGTCACTTTTTAAATGTGACTACAGAGACAGTTTTTTGGTGCTTTTTAAATAAATAAAAACTCTCCTGTAATCGTTTTTGGCAGTAAAGTTGCACCATAACCTAATTAAGGTTGACAGAGAGGACAGTTTTCCAAAAGTTTACTCTGTTAAATAAACAATTCAAAGTTTTCTGGTTTGATTCGAGGACGTTTCATTACCTTGCTGTGACTCTTGGATCAAATTTGTCCCTGTACTTGGCGACTCTGTCCTTCTGTCCTCCTCCGTCTCTGTTCGGCGCTGGAAAACCACAAACTCCTCTCCCTCTTCTTCGGCTCATCATCTTCATCTTTAGCTTTACTGAAGGCAACGAGTGACTGCACCACACTGACGTAGCCCTTCTTGGAGGCCTCAGGCAGCACCTTGCTGTTCCCACAGCCCATTACTCAAATGCAACAAGCCATCACCGCAGAGGGAAGAAAATAAACCAACATCTGCAGACTGTAGCCTAAAAATAAGCACACAGCCCCTCCATGTCTGCATACGAGTAAACATGCAGTGTTAAGTAGAGTGTGAGTGAACGGCATCAGGAGGTCCCACCTACCCTGCAGTGGGGAGGCTGGCAGGTGTGTGAACTCAAGGTCTCACCCGCTCGTGTGATACGAGTGTCAGGTAAACAGAGAATTCTGGGAGCCATTGTTGCTTCTCCTACAGTTGCAATTACAATGATGGTTAAAGTGTGAAGAGGTAAACTGTGGGGGGAGAGAGCGACAACAAAGACTTCAGTCAGGAACACACACACACAGACACACAGGTACCTAAAGAAGTGTAAGAAGGGAAGGTGTGTCAAAGAGACAGAAATCTATCGGCTTATCAAATGTTGAAATTAAAACAGTTTTTCACATTTTAAATTTGGTCTTCAGCTTTGTCCATTTTTTTTTTCAGGATTTGTCGCTTGATTGATTTAAGTCTTCCTAGTCGTATTTTGTGTCCCATACATTGTCCCGATATTTGATATGAGTATCGGTCATATCTAGATCAAGTATTGTGACAGTGGGCCTGATGCATCGGGGCCGATCTATTGAGTCTAACTCTATGCAAGGTGCCGTGAGTGGCATCCCCACGAGTAAACACACTGAGCTGATGCCCACATTGTTTTTAAAATGGAGCGTTTCTGTATCGGTATTGGATCGGTATCGGCCGATACTAAACTGTAGATATCTGTATTGGTATCGGAGGTGAAAAAAGCAGATAGTTGTGGTGCGTAAAGATCACGCTCTTACATTGTCTCACTGAAAAACGTGATAATGTCGTTGTTGGGATGGCGGCACATGTCGGGATAAAACTTGTATGTAAAGTTCAGCACTAATGGTGTTTTTCCAGATGTGTAAATTAGTCACGCCCCCTAACATCTGTGATATTAGCTGGTTAATTGTTCACCTGTTTCCCTCGTCTTTAAAGGAGAGGATGTCAAATTTTGATTTTTCAGACCACAGGACAGTTTTATACTTCAGTCCATTTACATCCACTCAGAATTATGTGAATATATAAACTGTGATCTTTGTGGCTATGCAGTGAATTCCACTACAGAGTCATGTCTCTTTCTAATGTTATGCTAGTTAAGAGCCAGAGGATCACTATCGCCTCCTTACACCTATATTCTCCTGAGAGATTCAGTCTGTCTGAAATGACCTCTTTATACCCAAGGTCATGTGACCAGCCTGTTTCAAAGCTTATAAAGAGCACACATGTGGGTCTATTGTTCTCCTCTGACTTGTGGATAAACTGTTTATCCATGTAACTCCAGGCTATGACTGACAATGCCAAATCCAAGGCCTACATTTGAAGGCTCATGTCCTCACATCACTGGTTAATACCATTGTGCTGCTGTCCACTCCCTTTCTTTACAGTCCATGATGCTGCCTCGTTTTATTGAATTCATCCTTCATTGTATGTCTTGGTCGTAGCAGATTATGTCCACCATGGCAGGATATAATTCTCATTGTGTTGTTGATACGATTGTGCACAGTATGTCATACACAGTGTTCTTGTCAGGCCTGCGCTAAGCTACTTTTTCTATTTTCTGCTTTTATGTTGAGCCGCTGTCATCATGTGGACGTAATCTTCAGAGGACGGGGGAGAAAACACACATGGTACAGAGACATTCAGATTTAAACCTTAAAGAGACAAAAGACACTGAGAAAACATGATTATATTTATACTTTCATGTCTGCAAAAGGATCAAAAGAGGGCACATGTGTTTTTTTATATGAGGATTCTATAGTGAGTTTATACTGATGTTAAATAAACTTTTGAAAGTTTTACCAACAAGAATTAATTTGATGCTTTAAAGCTCCTGTGGGGAACTTTCAGTTTGTGTCGTTTTGGCGCCCCCTGTGGACAAAAGAGTCCTTGCATATTTAGTCATTTTTGTGCCTATTTGGCGTTATTGTTTTATTGATTTTTTGGCATCCTTTTATACTAATTTTTTGGGAATATTACATACGGAAATAAAAAAAGAAAAAAATAAAATACAAAAAATAAAATGCAATACAAAAGAGCCATAACTCTGGCAGCTTCACTGGCACCAGTTTCAGAGATTAAAGAAATTACAGAATAAAAATCATAATTACTGTCAAATATGGTTCTGTTTGCTTTTGCATACCATAAAAAGGCATTAATATGAATTTCATTCTATTATAGTAAGGGTAAAAAACATCCTAACAGGAGCTTTAAATGGATTTTGCGCACTGTTTTAGTCCTTTAAAGGTCCTGTGAGGAACTTTAGGATTTTGTTGGTTTTAGTGCGCGTCTATCTTATTTTATTTTTTTGTAGATTTTGACTTATGCATGTGCCATATGCATTTAACCAAATAGTCAAATCTGCCTTTATCCAATGGACAAAGGCTGATTGAAATTAATCACTTTAGTCTGCCACCCACCCCCCACCAGTGGTTCCCAGCATTGAAAATAACTATATAATAATAGTTATAAACTACTTGGATAGTATTGTTTGATTTAGTGGATCACAAAGAGGCAACAGTGTTGATTTCAATTGATTTTGTAGCGAGCAAAAAGCTCCTCACAACAGCTTTAACTAACTTAAACCAAAGTTATTCCCCCATATTTTTATTCATTAAAAAAAAGAAAAGATTTAAAGAAAGTTTCATGTGTTTTTTACCTTTATATTACCTGTATGAGAAGAAATAAACATGTTATTGCTGACTTTCATTCTAGTGTAATGGATAGCTGCAAGTAACATGCTCCCCCTACTGGTAAAAACTGTAAGTGCATGTTTGACATATTTTAAAGAGCACCTCACTGCCATTTTTAACTGTTTAAGGTCGTAATGTAATCTTAAACCAGTCTCTGTTAATTAAATACGTCATTATAAGCTTTTTTAAACTCTTATATCCATCACATGTACATATGCTGGTATTTTGAGGTGTGACCAGGTCATGATATGATAGTAAAGACACTACAAGAGCATTATATTTATGCTAGAATCACATCTCCAGTTGGTACAAATCAACCATACGCCTAAAAGATCTGAAAGTACTTGACCTTGAGAAACTCAACAGCACACACTAGATCTGGATCAATCCAGATCAGAAATAAACTTGTCGATCAAACTAAAATCATCATTATTTGTCTCACTTTTCATCTGCGGTGTTTTTGAAGTTCTAGCTAACGCTGCTCATGCTAATTTCTTTTCATGCTTTTATTTTCTTGTTTGTATCAAAGGTAGCAGGACAAATGCTCCGTTTCCTGTGAGGAGGAGGAGGAGGATGAGGATTATTTCCTCTGAAGGTCTATAAAAGGTGCCGTGTGTCTAGAAGCAGCAAATAGGTAAGCTTTCATGAAACGAGCAGGGGTTTAATCGCTATTGTGTTATATCCGTCGGCACTTAAGGGGAGGAAAATGTTTATTTATATGAAAATGTCACAGCCGCTTTCTTATATGGCTGCGTCTTCTCAGAGGTGTAAATTGTGTTGTCATTGAACGGAGAGGCAGGCTGCATCATCACTTGCTTATCTGCTGCAGTTGTTTTCCTTCCTCCAGCGGAGCCAAAGGGGATGCTAGGCCTATCAGTCTGCTCTGCTGTCACACAATGTCTATCCCTTCTCAAAGGACCGCAAACACACACAAACACACAGAGAGAGACAGAGAGACAGAGAGCCCCCCCAACGCCTCGCCATACACAGACACAAAGAGCCAACAGAGGATAGACATCACATCAGCACTGAGGTGGTAAATCGCCCTTCAGAAGCCTTCCTCAAGGGAGTCAGCAGTTCAGCGTTTATCGAACCACTATCTGATTACTAAAAGGCTGTCCTCAGTTATAAATGAACCCACAACATGTGTGTGGTATCGGTAAAGCCGGGGCCTTGGGAGAAAAAGCCATTATAGGCTCCTGTGAATCCGTTTAGGCCGGACAGGCGGTCAGAGCGCAGCTGCCACTTGCCAGTCAGTTCATTACTGCTGTTATTGTGGTCGGAGGATGTGATACCTGCGTGTGAGAGGAGTGGACCGGAGCTGGAGCAAGAGCCGCAGACTAAAGTGGTTCACGAGGAGCGCGGAGTGAGCGGCTGAAAAGGAGCCCGTGTTCCTAGGTTGGAAAAATGACAGAAAAAGCTTTCAATGAATACTTGAACTTTGTAATTGTTCGATTCAGGTGGGCGAGACAAAATGGAGCAGTGAAAGAGAGAATAACGAACAAAGCTCACCCTCAGTGTGCAGTAATATCTACTGAAAAAAGACTGAACAGGTTTCATTGTTTGAAAAATGTACGGCTACAAAGATCAATTTTAGAAACAAGTGTTTCCTACTTTGACGTCACGGTCAGACTGATAAAGACGAGAGGGCAGCCGGGAGAGCCGTTCATCACAAATAATCTGTTTTTCTGCCTCGATAAAAGCTCAAAAACAGACTTCACAAATGTTTTATATTTTGAACTCTGGTACTTTTGAGATGGAGGATTGGGTTTTGACAAAACTTTGAGATTTAATCAAGTTTACAGCAACACAAAAAGACATTGAAAAAGGACCCAGAATTGAGCCTTGGGGGACTCCGCTAAACATAAACAGTGAGCAGAGCTAGGCTGTCAAATACACGAGCAAACCCCTACGATACAAACCCATAATACTCTTACATTAAGTCTCTGAGCATAATTTAACCTGTAGAGACTTGCTACCGATGGACCAATCAGAAGGCTACTGTCATCGTCAAATCAGAGGGTTTTCATATTTGGCAAAGTGTGTCTGAAAACACAATGAATTAAATGTTACTCTGAAAACAGCGGGCTCATTCTTCTTTGACGAGAAGGTTTGAATTTGTCTTGGATATTGC